AACAGCAGCATCAGCAGCACCAACCTCAACATCCCCAGAACCCTCAGCAGCAACACCAGCAGAACCAGCAACATCACCAGCAACAGCAGGGTCAGCAACAGCAGCCGCCACAATCGCAAAACCAGCAACAACAGCATCAGCAACAACAAGCTCAACATCAACAGCAACAACACCAACACCAACACCAACAGCAGCAGCAGCAGCAGCAGCAACAACAACATCAGCAAAACCAGCCTCAACAACAACAACACGCGCAACAGCAACAGCAGCAGCACCATCCCACATCGCAACCTCAATCACATGGCCAGACTCCTGCGGCGTCAGCGCACCAGCACTCGGCTTCCATCGCGTCCGTGACGACCCCTCAGACCCCGACATTCCCTCAACATAACCAGAACGCGACTGCAAATGGCACATCGTCGGTATCGACGCCCCTTAGTCCCGGCAGCGAGTCCCGCGAACAGGAGAGGTTTTCACTGTTGTTGGAGATCAATCAAGAGCTGTTGTTCGAGTCGATGCAGTTGCAACACACGCTAAGTGAGTTGAAGAAAGAGACACCAGGAGAAGGAGATCAGGCGAGGAAACCGACCCAAGAAGAAGGGTCGGTTCAGCAGGACTACAGCCAGTAAGTCACTAAGACAGACATGAGATGGAAAACAAAGGAATACTGACACTTTTCTTCACAGTTGCATGCGACGACTTCAAGCGAATCTCGCATACCTAGCCGCTTTGGCCGATCGCAAGGGAAACGTCCAGGTTCCTCCATCGCCCGCTTACCTGTCCTCCCCGCCACTGAATATGGCGCTCAAGATCCGAAACTCAACTCCGCCAGGCGACATTCCCGAGAACAATCCAGACCCGATGACAGACCGCGAGGAACGATCCAAATACCTATCTGAGCTGTACAGAAAGCTTCAAGCGCTGTTTCCAAATGCGGACCCCAAGAAGGAGCCACCGTTCCAGGCCGCGGGCCGCCCTCAGGGTCAACCGGGGCAGCAGGGACAAGGTCAGCGGCCGCCGAGCCACCACGCGAGCCCCGCCATGGCTCAAGCTCAACGGCCCATGCAAATGCAGAACATGCCCGGAGCACATCAGCAGCAGGGCATGTCTCTATCATGATCAAGGCGTGAGGAAGCGGCATGGATCGGACTCGGCCATTGGGTAACATGGTGGTGTTCAGGACCCTAGGGAGATGTATAAAAGAAAAATAAGTCACAGTTTTTGGCGCGGGTGGCGGGTTCTCCCGCTGGCGCCCTCTACGTTGGAGAGCCATAGCTGGAGATGTCCGCTACAAACTTTGTTGCGTTTGGAGCTGTACGAGGTGCAATCGCGCGGCGTTTGATGGATTTAGAGGAGGCCGTCAGCCAAGTTTGCATAGACTATACTCTTTGGAGCCGATGGAGTTGCGGCATACTGTGTGTTATATAGGTCGGCATAGGAGAAGCACATTGGCTCGAAAGAGGTGGATGAGACGAATTGAAGATTGGATAATCAAAGGGCAGGCGCTATGTTGTCTTGTGAACTGTCACTGATGTGTGTGCTTATTGGATCCTCGCGACCCCAGGATCGGATATGTTTTGACTCGGGCCGGTGACAACCGATACCGAGACAGCTTCATCGACGGCCGTGCCATTCTATGCGGTTTGTTGCGGTTGTACAGACATTAACTAACACAACGCGATGAAGTCATTCATGGATGTGTATCATTGAGAGAGAGGCATATGTGCCAACACCATCGAATTGTCTTGACTTGGATGATATTCACGATCGTATTAGGATAGATCGAGATATATCTTATGTATACGATAATCTCTCGATACCAACATATCTCTATCTATAAGGTCTATGGAGAGGTGCGCTTGGGGCTTGCGTAAGGACGACAGGCAGGTGGTGTAAGGAGAACCTCATAATCCCGCGCCACGGCAGGTTTTGTATCTGACGCTGTCTGTCCCGAGTGAATGGCATACTCTTACACGTCTGTGGGTTTTCCGAAGGGCCGTGGGCTGGAGCTATGGTACGGTGCCACTGCCCCCCCCCCCCCTGCTGTCCCATCGTTATGAAAAAGGATTTGGGATATGCAGACTCTGGATGGAAGCTACGGGATCTGAACCGTAGTGTCTGTGTGTACATGGAATTCGGAAATGCAAGAAAGTCTCGTGATGGCGATATTGAGAGTTTAGGCAGCGGAGATACGTAGTGATGGCATTCTCTGTACCTGCGCGGATACGCATGTTGTGTGTATGCGTACCATGCCTTGTCTACGAAGTGTACATCACTTGTGGATCGTGGATATCCAACAGGTTTACGGATGCTGTGAAGTCACTGTAGTATGAAGGCTGAAGCCGAGGAAGGACCCCTTGGACCGCTCGTTGGGCTGGGCGTTTGTGGATGCGGTTGGGTACTCGGTAATACCCGGCAAATGGGAGGAGGGAAGAAAAAAATCACGAAATGATGAACAGAGTGGAACCCGAAAGCTCCCCGCCGGCGTGTTTAATCCCAGCGCTTGTCATTCGGCGGGCCATCCAGGCAGCCTTCTCTTTCGTAGAGGTTGGACTCTGGATTGGAGGATGGGTTGGGAGATGACGGAAATGTGCCTGCCGTCGTGCAGCACGCGTGGAAGCTTGTTTCTGTGCAGGTGTGCTGCAGCTTGCAGGAGGGGGGGGGGGGGCATGGCCTGTGATTGGATTGCTGACGGGTGCTAGCGGTCCCGTACCTTGCAGAAAGTGGCTGCTTTTTTTTTTTCCACGCGTGCCTTTTTTTGCTGCTAATTTCGTCCGAGCTTTCGAGATGATTTGTTGTATTTTCTCTTGGGTTGGTCTGGCCAGCCACGGTCTAACAGATAAATAGCTATTGGTCCTTTGTTTCGTTGGCGGTGTTGATCCTTTTTGACCGTTGGTGCTAGAAATAGGGGGTTTGGTGATAGGAATTGCCATACTCCGTACAATTGATGCTGTTCATGATCAAGCGAGGTACGGATACCCAGGTAGGCGAGTGACAAGCGGCGAAGTGATGTATGTAAACAGTTCCCGGGTTACACGTCAGACAAGAGGGCGAATGAGCGCGTGGGATTCGCGGTTCTTCGTTTGTGAACCCTTACCCCCGGTGCCCGCCCCCTTGGGAAATTGAGTTCCCCTCTCTTGCTATCCGGTTCATATGAAAATGTTGTCATCAATTAAAACGCTTCTTACCCGGGCATCGCGTCGTTTGTCAACTCCCTCCATGGCGTCCGAGGCTGCCTAGCTGCATTCTAGGCAATAGTCATCCGTGGGCACACTTCGTACATGCATAGGTAGTATCTTGTTTGCGAGCTCCCTTTCTCTCATGACCGCCCTGTGATGTGACCATTGAAACCCATACTCAAACGATGAAAGGGAAGCATGCAAGTGGAAAGAACATGCCACAGCAGGGCTCTAGGTATCATCTATCCGTAAGGTAGTTAGTTCCCTTTCCCCAGCATGGATTCCCGAGTCCCCCTTTGACCGCTCACTTCATTCCAGACCAGTCGAGATTCGCCCAATCCCCATTGCCAACGCAACCCAATCTCATCTGATCATCACCCCTCTGCCTTGTCCCCTGCCGCACATCCCGCATTCTTTCGTATGTGCCTATCCATCGGACCAAGACTTTTTTACTACCCCGTGAGACCACTACTCCGTGCTGCAACACCACCACCAAAAAGCCGCCACCAAGACCTTGGGGATCGACCGGGCTTGGAAACAAACGCCACCTGGTATCCGCGGTGATCTTAGCTAAACCATACTCGAGCTTCCCAAGCTATCCGCGCTAGAATAGGCGAACTCTTTGGCCCTGGCAACGTCTGAACTGCCACTGCCTGACTGCTCAGCTGTGGCTGCCTCTTTCTCTCGTTCGTGTCTTTCAGTGACCGCCTCCCCCTTCCCAAGTCCACGTCTCCCGGTGGCACAGGGCCTGTATGTAGTCATAAATTCAAAGTGCAAGTGGAGGAAGTACCTACGGATTACAGAGGGAGAAGCTGCCTGCTGCTGCCCTGCGGAGTACTCTGCAAGAATACTCCGTAGACTGAGATGCTATCCAGGAGATTCGGGAGGCTGCAATTGCCAGTCCATCGGCATCCACCTACCCTGGGCCGCCCACCCCAGCGTTTCAGCGTCCTTGGCTCCTCGATGAAACGACATAACCACAGGAGCACTTGACCAAGTTGACTGACACGCCTGCAGGCCCAATCCCAATCTCAATCCCCTCCTGTCGCCGTCCAATCCTTTCTTGATTCTTCCAGGTTGACTCTTCCAAGCTCCCGGTTCTCCCTCCAGTTCCCATTCAATCCCTCAAAGTTCGCCCTTTGCCCTCTCGACTGTTCCAGGCTTACCTACTCATCATCCTCCCCCCGACTTCGCTCGCGGCTCTTCCAAGGAGGCTGCCCATCTGTGGATTCCCCCCCGTTTTCTTTTTTTTCCCCTCCCGCTGCTGCGCTGCCGTGTCGTTCGTTACTCGATACCCCCTGGCTCTCCATTGAACAAGGAAACCGTTGGAGGAGATATTTCGGGACCCAAAGCCACACCCACCCGCCGTTGCAGCAAGCAGCAGCCAGCCAGTCACTTTGTTGGACACAACCACCACCCGCACCGAGTCTTGCTCTCTCTGCTTGCTGTGTTACCGCTGCCAACCTTGTGCACATCCCTGATCATCCGCATTGCTTGTGGCTTTTCAACTCATTCTCCTGCCGCTCGCCCTCCTCCCCCCTACCCCGTACGCAATTCATTGGGTACGACAGTCTTTGGGCTCGCGAGCCGCCCACCGAGAACGTTGAACCACATCGAGCCTCGAATTCGGGAAACTTGTCGAGAGACGAGATTGGCCTGCGATTTTATGAGTCTTGGAAACAGGGCCACGGCCGCGCGCACTCGTCGTCGTTGACCGTCCTACACGCATACTGTGGGATCACCTTCGACGAGTCCACATTCCAGTCCCTACTGTGATTTCTTGTTGCGAAAACACCAATCAAGCAGTCGGGCGGCCTGGCCATGGACCTGGCGCTGCAGCAACGGGATGAGGTCGACCACAACACCGAGCTGACGCATGCCAAACCCGACACGAGACCCGCTGCCGCCAACGCCAACGCCAACCAAGACGACGACGACCACCGGGAGACGACGCCCAAGATGTTGGCCCACGATTCCATGGTCACTGTCAGGCTTTCCGAGCCGCCTACTCTGACCCTCGACACCAATGTTGGCCCCGATTCACCCCCGAGGAGGAGACCTAGCACTGTCAAGATTGAAAAGCTTCCCTTCCCGACAGAGACGCTAGAGGTCAAGACTCAGAATCAGCCAGAGGACGAGACCGACGACACGCCACCCAGCGACCCTACGACGCCGTTACCTGTTACGAACGCTACTCGGAATCTTCAAGACGAGCTTGTGGACTGCGAGGACGAGGCCGAAGAAGAGGGAGACCGCATCACTTCACTACCAGCTAGGGGAACCCTACTCGAGACGCCCATAGAATTTAAGAGGCCCGTGGTGGACGAAGCTGAAGAAGAGGACGAGGAGGAAGTCAATTGGGACGAACTGCAGAAATCCGAAGCACAAGAACCTAGGGACGCGGATACAGATAGAGTAAGTGCATCCTGTGGCTACTCAAACAGCAACTTTGTCGAGGCTCACAGTTCCCAGTCTACAGCCATGTTGCTGGCCATGCTAGAGCAGGAAAACGATAAGTTGGCGACGAACCCCAAGACCATCAAAGTTCAAGCCGTGGAACAAGTGGCCGCTTCCAATCGCCCGAGACCGCCATCAATGGCACAATTACGACACATGGTCCACGGGCCAACACCACCGGCCTTGCGATACTCGATGCTCCCGCCGCCACCAATGACCGATCTCGAGTTTTACGCCGCATTGGTCAAGGACTATCAACAGACGGCAGCTCGATTGCCAACGCTTCTATCGAACAAGATACGCAAAGGCATCCCCCCTCCGCTACGAGGCGTTGTATGGCAAAGCATGGCAGGCGCAAGAGATTCCGCACTCGAGGAGCAATACGAGCGATTCACGGGCGAGTCGAGTCCCTACGAGCCCATTATCGGCAAGGACCTCGGTCGGAGTTTCCCTGGAGTCGACATGTTTCGCGACCCCGAGGGCGACGGACAACGCATGCTCGGCCGGGTTCTCAAATGCTTCAGTCTCTACGATACGAAAATTGGTTACTGTCAAGGGCTGGCTTTTCTTGTTGGCCCTCTCTTGATGCACATGCCCGATAAACAGGCATTTTGTGTTTTAGTCCGGTACGTGTCAAAATCCCAAAAAGCAAACCCGACCAGCCGCCCGGCCCCCCTCACCCGATTTCCTGGGAAAAGGGGTCCGAGAGAATAAGCAAAACAAGGTTTCGATGCAAATGCACATGCAACGTTGAGGCTAACATGTTGAGATGGGCAGATTGATGGAACGATATGATCTGCGAAGCTGTTTCCTGCCAGACCTGTCAGGACTGCATGTCCGCATCTACCAGTTTCGAGAGCTTCTTCGAGAGCACATGACACCAGTATCGAACCATCTGGAGGAATTGCAAGTCGATCCGGCGTACGTTTCACAATGGTTCCTCAGCTTTTTTGCTGTTACATGTCCCCTGCCGATGCTGTTTCGCATCTACGATGTCATCTTTGCCGAGGGGGCCCCGGAGACCCTGATGCGGGTCGCCCTATCCCTGATGCAGAAGAATCAGGCCCGGATTTTAGCGTGCACCGAGCTCGAGGATGTCATGCAACTTCTCCTTTCGAGGGGTCTGTGGGATTGCTACCATTACAACGCAGATGAATTTGTGCAGGACTTTGTCAGTTTATCGGGCGTTGTCACCAGAGAGACATTGCTACAGTTGGAGCAGGGGTACAGAGACGCGCAAATTGCTAGCGCTAATGCGGCGCGTTCCTCCGACGTGACCACTGCAGCCTCCCGATTCCTCGGCCGCATTTGGGCTTCCTCCACCATCATCTCCCCGAAGTCCTCCTCCACCCTCAGCCCGGGCCTCACCGCTCCGTCACGGCCTTTGAGCATGCTGCGCAGGAGCACATCGAAGCAGAGCCTGGCCTCCACTCTCAATTCGATGGAAGCCAGCTCCGTCAGCGTTCTCAGTCCTGCATCCACCGAAGCCACCACCGTCTCCCGAGATTCATCAAACACCGACAGCGCATCCATCCGCGAATCGACGCCCATCCCTAGCGGCGGCAAGGCCTTCAATGGCGGCAAGAACAACAAGGAGAATGCACTGCACACCCAGATCGAAGACCTCCTCACTGCATTGACCGAATTGCAACGAAACCATGCATCGCTCGCAAACGAACTCCAAAAGGAACGGGAACAGCGCGAGGACGATAAGCAGGCTGTCCGGTCGCTACTGGACGGTCTGCGCAAGAAGGCCAGCAACGACTCTGTCGGTACCGATGCGAGCGTCGATACTCTCAAGGCGACCGATGACCCCGCAAATGAGGCACGCGAGGGAGGCGAGGGAGATGTGTCCACTGCCAAGACAGGCGAGCAAGATACCCCGTCACCAGGAGACCTATCACAACTCCTCGATAATGTCGAAGAACGATTTGGGCGCCATGGCGGCGTCGGCGTCGAACGCAGAATGTCCAGAGGCGAATCCAAATCGCAAATGCAACAGGAATTGCAGCAACTCAAGGACCAGCTCGCCAGCGCGGTATCACAGTCTCAGGACTACAACCGAAAAATGCACGACCTAGAACAAGAAATTACAACACTTAAGGATCAAGTGCGGGAATCCCACTCGCATACACGCATCTTGCACCAGGACAAACAGCGACTGGAGAAGCAAATACACACGATGAGAGCGCGGGCATCCGCCGCCGGTGCGGAGAGTAATACTCAGCCCGATGGTGATTCGCCTGTGAGGAAGAGTTCTGCTAGTGGTGCGAGCGGCTTGAGAGAGTTGAAGCTTGGTAGGAGCAAGTCAACCCCGTCCCAAGCTGGATCGATATTCAGCAAGCGTTCCTCGTCAATGCCGAAGCCTCACGACTCGACGCCACCACCGGCTACACAGGCGCCGCCTCCCGTGCCGGCTCCGCCACCGACGGATGACCAGCACGAGGCGTTGCTGTTGGAGCTCGTGCAGGCCAAGACTTCCGAAGCTATCGCCAGGCAAGAGGCCGAAGAGACGAAACAAAAGCTTGAGAGCTTAAGAAAGGCATACAGCCTCGTTACTGGAGAGGCAGCACAGGCACAACCTGCAGCAACGGCGGCAGGAGCGGCAGCGTCAGCGGCCATGGGCGTATTTGGTCGCCTCACGGGAGCAGCGGCAGAGCCCGTCAAGCCGCCGACGCCCGCCCCAGCAGCAGCAGCAGCCGCCGCAGCAGCTCCCGCGCCCGCGGCGGGAGGCTTCTGGGGTTGGAGGAGATAACCAGGACCCTGTTCGACCTCTTTCATGATCACATCGGCGTTCCAAACCACAACAAAATTAGAGGAGCATTCGGAGCATCTAGATTATTTTGCATTCGGGTTCTTGCAACGGGTACCAGGCCCGTCTGCTTGTCACACCTTCATCACTGCATTCGGAAAGACAGGGCAAGATGGCGGCTTTTTGCATCTGTGGAAGTAGGCCTGCTCCACGCCTGGAGGAGCATTCTTTTTCTTCTTCTTTTCGAAACACAACCCACTGCACGGCATTGGCATTCTAGACTGTTTACTGATTTTTGTTATTCCATTCATACCATTCATGGCATCGGAGTTGAAGAAAGGGCACTTTCCACACCCCGACGGCGGGAGCGGACGGATTATCGTCTCCGCCCTTTATGAAACTAGGGATGTCCGCCGGCCCCATTTGTTTGTTTTTAAAATCCTCTCTCCCCCCCCCTTCCCCCCTCATGAGCAGGGAGGGATTTGGAGGGTTTATCGGAGGAGCAGGACCTTTTTTTGTCAAAATACAGATAGTATCAGAATACCAGTGGGAAAGAAATTCAGAGTCATGAAGGGATAATCAATCAATACCATGAATCAATCCACGATACGCTGCAAAGTGACTGCCAATGTGTCCTCTCCTGAGTAGATTAGCTACAAGGCGATCTCCATAGCATCTGGAAAGTAGAGCTGTAAAAGCGCAAAGCTACCCTTATCAGTGGTCTGTGAGTTCAACACCCCCCATGCCCATGCCCATGCCCATGGGGGGGGGGGGGGGGGGATGGGGACTGGAAAAGGCGAACCCCTTTTTCTTTTGACCCGTTTGGGCAACATCGTGGGTCCTTGATGTTGCATCTGCAGAAGTTTTGGGTTTGTTTGGCTTTTTGGGTGACCCACGTCGTGAGTTGGGTATCTGTTCTGTCTGTGCTCGGGACCACACCTCCACACTGTTTAACTCCATCGTTTTGCATTACTAGAGGATTGCCGTAGTATATATAGACGCTACCCTGCCCTCGAATTCCGCACTATTCAACCTTAACCCTTTTCATAAGTCTCTTATCCTTTCTTCTATTCTACCCTCTCCCTCGTCAAGGGATCGCTAGAATCGTAGTTTCAATAGCTTATTAATAAGCTAGTATTATTATTTAGAAGTAGGTAACTTACTTTTATATATAGGTACTAGGAGTCTTATTATCGTAAAAATAGCAGTAAATATACTAGAGTACTTAAGAGAGCTTTTTAATAGATTTCTAATACTATTTAAAGTAATTATCTTCGAGCTATAAAAAGAAGCCGAGGTACTATATTAATACGGCCCTATCCGTCTCGTTAGTACTAATAATACCCTTCTTAGTATGGGATATATTAGTAATACTCTGCGGCCGTATTATTACGCTTCGTAAATTATACTTAACAACAGCGAGGATTTTAGCGTTTTTTTTTAAGTCTTTTATTAAAGTCGTTATCGTGGGGTTAGTTTAGTTATTAGTATCTTAATAAGTATTTTAACTTAGTATACTCAGAGGCTCTTATAGCTCTTAATAAGAGGCTTTTAAAGGACTTATAACTAGACTTTTTACCTATTACGGGTAAAGCTATTATAGTTAAAGCTATAGCAATTAAAACTATAGCGCTATTTACAGACCTCGATAGTAAGTAGTTAGTAATATAGTTATCTTTCTCTTATAGTAAGCTTAAAAAAATATCTTAATTTAAGTGCTAAGTGGGCACTATATTATTTTATTAAAACTATATTCTTATACTTATAACTTAGAAAGAATTAACTTTCTTTGATAATAAGGTACTCAGACTATACCTCTAAAGTGTGGCGGTGCGGTGCTGCGATGGTGGGGATGGTGTTGTTTTCACATGTGATAGCTGTGGCGCAGGAGACTAATTTACTTTATACACTACCCTAAGAAAAAAAAGCTGGGATGTTGCTGGTTTGGCGTGCATGTTGCTGTGGTAAGAGTGGATTTCGATGCTCTGTTTACTATCTTTTTTTTTTCTTCCCTTCTCTTCTGATATTCGTTGTCTGAGAGACTGATGGGTCACTTTTGGTGATGGAGAATATCGACACTCTGGTCAGCTTTTTTTTCTTTCCGTTTGGTGGTGGTGTGTGTCTGACCGAGACATTCTCGCTCGCATGGGAGGGTTTTGTAAGCCCTTTTGTTCGGCTGGACAGATGCAGCAGCCACGACTACCTTACTGTAAGGTAGATTACAAAAGTGGTACATGTGGTCCCGTGAAGAAGGATACCTTGGCTCTAGTGTTGACTTGTCACTTGGAAAAAGACATGTCAAGTGTCGAGTGACAAAATAAAGAACATGGTCTCTGTCAAAACCCATCGTCTTGTCAGGGTCCGGTGGCAGCGTTTGGCACGTGTAGAGAAGGGTAGCTGGGGGAGCTGGGGCACGTGCCGCAAAGACCGGGCGTTCAGGTCCGATTCACGGCCGGCGCGGTAGAGAGGACGGACGGCCGGTGCGGGCTACGACTGATGTTATTTTGTGGCTTGCCTGTGCTTGAATGGCAAGTAATGGAAAGGATGGGTTCGTCTGATGGCTGTAGCTTCATTTGCAACGGTGAGCTGGCGTGTGAGCGTTGCTGGCGGCGGGGATCATAATGAAGTCAAGGAAGCCCTAGCTGTCGTATCTCAGAGGCTATAAGTGATGTGCTGGCAGGTCGTCAGCTTTCAGATGTGCACGGGGATGTCCTGGATCCAAAGGTTGGGCGTCTGAGCAACGGATAAGAAGGCTCTTTGAAGTTGTAATGTACGGGAGGGTCGAGGTGATATCGTGAGTTTTTTTTCTCTTGTGGTTGCTTGGGAGTGGTGGAGGGGCTGAAAGTGGACGGGCCACACGGCGGCGCTAGGGAGTGGGTAGCTTGTGTGTTGCTTGTGAAGCTAGGACCAGGCTCGATCATCGTGGGTACCAAAAGTAACAAAAGTGAGTACGCAGTAGGTATGCTTCTCCAACCTCTTTGGGTAATGTGCCACGAGAGGAGGGTTGGGTGAATGAACAGGCTGGCTTCTTTGGTAACGACGTAACCTGGAACGGGAATCACGGTGGCTTGCGTGCGTGGCCCGTCTGCAGTTGTGGCACGGTAATGAGGACACAACGAACGGCCTGGCGCAAAGGTGAAGAGACTGAGAGAGGAGGGTGGCGGGCAGCTTGCATCAGATATCAGCGAGATGCCATGGTTTCAAAATTTCCAGGATTTTGAGGTGATCCCCGGTCGCTTCAGCCGCTGCAGTCATTAGGTAGTGTAGAATACCTAGTGGGCAGCCAATTCTAGACCTCTGTGAGCAGGAAGGAAGACTGGCAGCAATGGGAGGAAGAGAGAGGAAAATGCAGGAGCACGTCACATGCCTGCTGCATAACTAGCGGCCAACGAGGGACGCTACGCAGTGGGATGACGCCAAAGACGGAGGGGGGAGGGAAGACTGACATGATACTTCGTCATTGGCGGACACGGCGTAGCAATTGTATGGCGGCAGAGCCCCTTGGAGCGCGTCTTGGGGGGCGCCTAGGGAGGTAGTCCGTAGGTACCGAGCGATTGGTTGCTGTGGCATAGCTTTTGCGTCATCACAGGTCGGAAACCAAGCTGGGCACGCAGTACCTACGCAGTACGCAGCAACTTGACGGGCACTAGCCACACCCCGACCCGCCGCCCCTCTTTTTTTTGTCGTTCCCCGTCTGCGTGCTGCGTGCGCTCGCCAGTCTCTCTCTCTCTCTCTCTCTCCACCATGCAGTCATTGGTATTCGTGCTGCAGTGCGATACCTTGAGTAGGTGTTCGTATACGGAGTACTGGTGGTGTAGGAAATGGTGTAGGACGAGCAGTACTACGGGGTATCTTAGACGGGAGTGTGAAATAAGGGAGAGAAAGCTCCTCTACGTGGGTCTTTTCCCGGCTAGTAGGTCCTGTTTGGGAGAAAACAGCGTCACTGCCTCTTGCCAAATTCCCAGACGGGACGGAGGTGACGGACTGATGGAGTTTCCCATTGCTCCTTCTCGGGTCATTTCTTACGCAGTACTTTAGTCCTGTCGCTGTTGCTTTGCTTCTTGAGGTATCCTTTGCTCCCGCTGGCTGGCCCGCCGCCGCCCTGGGCTTGTCCTGGCAAGCCTGGCCTGCCCGGCGTTGGCACGGACGCTCCCAGTGGGCTCTGCGGTGCTCCTTTCTTCTTGATCTTCATTTACATCACTGCCACCCAGCAGCAGCACCACCGGCAGAAGAAGCAGTAGTCGCAGCACTGCCAATATTCGTACCTTACCTTCCTACCAACCGAGCCACCTCTCACTCACACACAAAGTCTTTTTTTCCCTCTCCCCCCTTCCTTGCCCGTGCTTTTTTCCCTGACCTTCCACCTCCTGCTGCCGGTCTTGCACCCACCTGGACCTTACCCACCCACACAATCACAAATACACGCCCTCACCTTTCCGGTTTACACCTCTGCCTGAGCTTCCAGACCTACCTTACCTACAGGCTACACACATCATTGCAACAAAAACACCTGGCCTTCCTCTCTTCTCCTCCTACCTACCTACAACCCTTTTTCTACATCTCAAGAACTTCTCAATACCCCAAAGCTTCTGCCACTTGCTTCTTACCAAAGCTACTCTCTTCCATCCCACCCAAGCTTCGATTTCTTGAAACGCAAACAAGGTAGCTTTCTAGCAACTCCACCATCACACGACACCTCCCATCCGCAACTGCCCGACCGCAGTATTTCCTCTCCTAAACAACAACACCACACATACATCGCCAGAATCCTCGTTGCGATCACACACAATGTCTGACTTCCCGGACGCCCCTACCACGGCTCCTTCTGCCAACGGTACTTCCTACATCCAGGCTACCAAGGAGAGTAAGGTACGTTATCGCTGTCCCTCGAGATCCCGCCATTCCCGCTCCAGATCTCCCCCCTCATGCGAACATCCGGCTAACTTGTGCGAATAGTGTTTCAAGCTTCAATCCCCATCGCCAGCGACCATGATAAGCTAACA